AAATTTGGGACGGCTAGCGCAGATAGCCCTCGTGTAGCTTTGCGCGAAATTCAAAATAACAAAACAATCACTGAGGACCAACTTGTTTCTGTCGCTGAGGGCCAACTTGTTTCTTTTGCTAAGGCCTGACTTGTATCAGTCGCTAAGGGCCAGCTTGTTTCTGTCACTGAAAGCCAACTTATTTCTGTTGCGTAGGGCCAGTTTGTTTCTGTCACTGTGGGCCATCCTGTTTGTTTTGGTAAGGCATGCATCTTATTTCTCTCGCTGAGGGCCAATTTGTTTCTTTTGCTGAAGGCCAGCTTGTTTCTTTTGCTAAGGCTTGGCTTGTTTCTGTCGCTGAGGACCAGCTTGTTTCTTTTGCTAAGGTTGGCTTGTTTCTGTCACTGAGGACCAGCTTGTTTCTTTTGCTAAGGCTTGGCTTGTTTCTGTCGCTGAGGACCAGCTTGTTTTTTTTCACTGAAGGCCAGCTTGTTTCTTTGCTAAGGCTTGGCTTGTTTCTGTCACTGAGAACCAGCTTGTTTCTTTTGCTGAGACATGGCTTGTTTCTGTCACTGAGGACCAGCTTGTTTCTTTTGCTGAGACATGGCTTGTTTTTGTCGCTGAGGACCAACTTGTTTCTTTTGCTAAGGCTTGGCTTTTTCTTTCGCTGAGGGCCAGCTTGTTTCTGTAACTGAGGACCAACTTGTTTCTCTCACTGAGGGCCAATTTGTTACCGTTTCTGAAGGCTAGCTTGTTTCTTGTTGACATTTACCCAATCTAGTGGCTTTGTTAAATTTTAAATAGGAAGTTTAAATCTGCTTGTAAATCTGACCCAACAGTTTTTCCATTTCGCTAACACTGACTATTAGATAACTGGACAACAGTAATGGACACAAAGCTTCAAACACATCGTATTTTGACGTTTTTGTTTTTAGTGAGAGTTTTATTCAAAATCGTAGATCTTATTACTATAATAATAGATGTGACTGCAAAATAAGGTTATAGGCAAGAGCACGGGATGTAGGGGTGCTGAGGTTGTGCAAGCATCCCCTGGCTTGATTATGAGGGTGCTACACATGCGCGGTTCCAATCATATCTGGGTTTTGATTATGTTCAACGGTTGTCAGTACCCCCACTTCAAATATTGATCCATCGCCAATGGTTATGGGTCTTGTTGGCTTATACTTTGGACAACGTCCAGAACTTAATAAGTAGTATCTGAAAAAAAAAATCTACAAAGGGGTTAAAATGTATATTGCAGCGTAAATATCTGTCTTTTTCAAGCCTTCTTACTGCTCCCCCCACAATACAAATAACACATTTTATGGAGATATCCCATGCTGTTCAGAACTTGCTTTGTGATCACAGATGGCGATGTTTTTCTTTTACAGTACAGATGCTAACACAGTTCTTGGAAATTCCGCAGAAGGACAGAATTAGATACGTCATATTTACACAAGCCCGATCGCTTTAAGAAACCTTCCTTCATTGTTGTAAGGTCAGTTATATTGT